ATGCCCTCGTTGGCCGCAGCCCGGCTAAGGGCCAACTCCCCATCAGGATGCGCAAGTCTCGCCATAGCAGCAGGAGAGATAAAGAACGGCGCACTACTATCGAAACCAAGAATGTTTGTCTTGTAGTTCACGTGTGAAACATTCCTCAAGATCCTAGGTCTGATCATGACTCTCCGCACCAGCTCCTTGTTCTTCCCGTGGGTGACGAGATCCGTCGCAGCAGACGAGTAAAACGCCCATGTTTTGGCAGAGAGTGAATCTCGCGCTGCCTTTTCATAGTCGGGAGCGCTCAAGATGGCGTCTATTGGCGGGATTGTTTTAGTTGTTGTTGTTGTCGAAGGGACGTTGTTGGTTTGCGGTGATGATGATGGGGGCGGTACGGGATCGATCTCGGTGGTTTTAGGGGCCGGACGACTGATTGCTGATTCCTCTAGAAGGCCAATTAATTTGTCGCTGGGAAGGTCTTCGATGATATCAGGCGCGTGGACATCATTGTACAGTTCCGTGGCATCAGAACCCGCCAGATTCAACAGCACTACCCATCACGATTAGTCTCGCCACAACCCCCAAATTTGCTCAACATACCTTCTGGACCACCAGGATGCTCATTGATAAAATGTGTAATATCCCAGACCTTGGAATGGACAGCTATCCAGCAGTCATTCGCCGTGTTATGCTGCTTCAAGTCGTCCAAGGACACTCTTCTCGTCTCAATTGAAGTCTCCATGATTTCTGATAGTGTTGACTGAACCTCCAAGAACGAAACAAGCTCTAAGTCTTGAAAATAAGCTAAACACCAAAGCTGCAATTTACTATCTCCACAAGCTGTGTACAGTCCGGGAATGCCGACTATCGGGATGGGTCACGGAGAACCCTCCCATTGGCTGTTTTGCCCCCCGGGAATGTCTCCGGGCGTTCAACCCCGCACTGGGCCTTGGAGTTTCGGTGCACTTAAGAGCTCGGAGGTAGTATAGACGATTACTGCATCAAGCATATCTTCATTACACAATTATTCCTCCATCAATCACTAGTCAAGTCATCAAAATGGAGCGCAGCGCTATCCAAGCAAAGGCAAAGCCCCTCCCCAAAGGAGTCTACACCCCGGTCGTCACACTCTACAAAGCAAACGACCCAACCCAACAAGTAGATCATGAAGCAATGCACACCCAATGTCAAGCCTTGATCAAGGCAGGCATGCATGGTCTTGTCTATCTCGGCACGAATGGCGAATTAGTTCTCCTCTCACGAGAAGAGCGCAAAGCCATCATCAAGACAGCCGTACATGCCGCTTCTGCAGCCGGTGGACCTGACTACCCGATTGTGGTAGGCATCTCAGCACAGTCCACACAGGAGTCGATCCAGAACGCCAAAGATGCAGCGGAGGCGGGTGCTGGCTTTGGGTTGCTTCTGCCGCCGAATTACTGGCCCAAGGCACTACCCAGCCAAGCTATAGTGTCGTACTTTAAAGAGGTTGCGGCTGCTTCACCGATACCTATTGTTATTTACAACTTCCCCGCTGTTACATCTAGTATTGATCTAGACTCTGATCAACTAGCTACCTTGGCTTCTGAACCGAATATCGTAGCGGTGAAGTTGACCTGCGGAAACGTTGGAAAGCTCGCTCGATTAACAGCGCTATTCTCCCACGAGCAATTCGGTGTGTACGGCGGTAGCAGTGATTATCTCCTTCCCACACTGCACAGCGGCGGAAGCGGATGTGTTACAGGGATGGGTAACATTTTCCCGTCGAGTACAGCGGGTGTCTATGACTTATGGAAGGCGGGCAAGATTGACGAGGCGAATAAGCTTCAGGGACTTGTCGCTCATGCCGAGTGGGCTTGTAAGAAGGGTATTAGTAACACCAAATATGGAGCGTGGCACTTCCTCGGTAGGGAGATTGGGCTGGATAATGAGACAGCGTGGCATATGAGGAAGCCGTATCAGCCACTTGATGATAAGGCTAAGGAGTGGACGGTTAAGACGTTGAGTGTTTTGGCGGATGCTGAGAAGCAATTGAGGAAGCAATAGACTGTGTATTATTGCCAGAGTTGTTAGATTCCCAACTAAAAGAAAATTCGTGTTCAATCATTCTCAGTTCGTCGCTGCGGGTGATTCTGATCGATGCGCGCCCCTTGACAAGAATCCATGGGCCCAGACCCTGTTTGGATCAAAGCTCAATGACGAGACAACGACTTGCATACGCGTAACTGCCCTGCCTGTAGATATCTCTAACACGAACTCAGGTTTGCCGACCTGTTTAACGAAACGCCTTGACGGTTAGGGTCCATTACAATTGACCGATCGCGATGCATTAGCTCGTCGCCATCTCATGAACATAGTCCATCTTTCGCATTTGTTCCCTACAGGCTTATGGTATGATCACCAACCATCACGAAAGAAATATTAGTGAACATCACAATAACCGGCCAAATAACCGACACCGACATGATCACATTTCCTGCACTGATGCTGCAATCATCTTTCGATCATGTCTTGGGTGGCACAGATATCACCAAGCGGGCGGCCATCTCCCTCGGTCTTCCCTCCTACTGGCCAGCTAATCCTGCCCTCCAATCCAACACTATCAGTGCGTCTCCAAGCACGACTCATTCAGAACTCTAAACGCGCTAGTCTCCCTCCCCCAGATTCGATACCCCATACCCCGCATTCACTCCCCATGCCAAGTTTTAATCCCATAAAAAGGACTTGATTTCCCCGATATCGAAAACTCGTCAATCCAGTGATACTCTAATCACCAGGATCAAACAACACTTTCAATACTTGCAAATTTCTGTTTGTGATCATGACTCTGAGAAACTCCATCTTGGATGAGAAGGATGTCGAGGCTATTGCCTCTCATCTCGATCACGCCAACACTGTGGCTACCAATGGTGGTTTGTCCGCTGAGGATATGGAGTTTGTTGCCAACTTTCCTGAAGAGAAGAAGAAGAAGGTCTTGGCAAAGATCGATGTAAGTTGATCGGTTTCATTCTGCGCAGACAAGATCTGACTTGTTCAGTGGCGACTCATGCCGATGCTTGCTATTCTCTACCTCGTCACGTATATCGACAAAGCGAATATTGGAAACGCCAAGATCGAGGGGATGCTCCCTGATCTTGGTATGAATGGAGAGCAGTACAACATTGCGCTCTCAATCTATTTTATTCCTTGTATGTTCAGCCCTCGAGTGACGTTCGATAACTCTAATTTGGCTAGATATTCTCGCCGAGGTTCCTAGCAATATGATTCTCAACAAGTTCGCCAAGCCTTCTCAGTATATGGCTACCATCATGTTCATCTGGGGTATCGTCGTGGTCTGCACTGGTCTGATTCACAACTTTGGCCAACTGTGCGCAATCCGTATCCTCCTTGGTCTCTTTGAGTATGTACTCGCCCGCGTTTATACCTTGTATCTGCTAACATCACCAGGGCTGGCTTCTTCCCCGGCGCTATCCTCATCATCTCGAAATGGTACCTGCCCCACGAGACGCAAACCCGAGTCGCGATTCTATATACATCTGCCGCCACAGGAGGTGCTTTCTCTGGCCTCTTCGCATACGCCATCGCTAAAATGGACGGAATTGGTGGCCAGACTGGGTGGAGATGGATCTTCTTCATCGAGGGAATCTTTACAATCGTCATGTCCTTCGCCACATGGTTCTTACTCATCGATTCACCCACTCTCTCATACTGGCTTACCGATGAGGAGAAGCGATATCTCGTGTTGCGACAAGCTTCCCGAAGAGTCACCAACTCGGGCGAATACCGCGAGAAGACCTTCGACAAGGGAGCTTTGTTTGAGGTTCTCAAGGACTGGAAGGCATATCTCCTCGTCATCATGTCCTGGTCCAACGCGGCCCCCAACTACGGTCTCAAGTTCTCCATGCCCTCTATCGTAAAGGGAATGGGCTTCACATCGAGCAACGCCCAACTCATGACTATTCCTCCTTATCTCTGCGGAGCTATCTCATCGTACCTCCTCGCTCGATTTGCTGATAAGCACAAATGGAGAATGCCTTTTATCATTGGTCCTCAGCTTTGCATCATCATCGCCTTCTCCATCCTAATGACCAAAGCCGAGTTTATTGTTCAGAACCTCGGGGTGTGCTATTTCGCAGTCTGTCTCGCCTGTGCCGGCATGTATCCCATCTTGCCTGGTACCAGTGCCTGGAATATCGACAACAACCTCAACCCGACGAAGCGAGCCATCAGCATTGGATTCGTCACATGCGCAGGTACCATTGGCGGTATCTATGGCAGCTACATCTATATCGATAAGGAGAAGCCCAAGTACACGACTGGATATGGTGCATCGCTCGGATTTGCCGTCGCAGGAGTCTTGGCCGCTGTTACTCTCGAGACTGCTTTAGTCATGATTAACAAGAAGCGGTCGAAGATCAGTGAGGCTGAGGTTCGAAGCAAGTACACAGAAGAGGAGCTTGAGATTATGGGCGAGAAGAGCCCGCTGTACCAGTACAAGCTGTAGTAGAGTTAGTGATAAGGAATGCCTCTAACATACTTCAATTCATAAAAGTTGCCAGACCTTTGCTCTTTAACACGATGATATGAAATTGGCGGGGTATGCAAAAGAGATGTATTTCCTGTGTCAACCTAAGCTACCTCTTGAATAGTGTACATCGACACAGTATTATGTACTTATAAGAGAGTAATTACTTATATAGGACTATGCATTCCGAAGCTGTGATGTCAGCATGTATGCACTTATGCCGCTGACATGTCAGCAAATATGCACTTATCTACACAGGATGTCAGCAGAGATAAATGGTGCAGCTTGGGCCTCAGCCTTCTGTTTTGTTAATCGTGCTATCTCATTGACCCATTCCTGAATCTACAGCCCACTGAAAACTACCATGCGTCTTCTTACGACTGCGGGTGATGGCGAACTTCGCCTAGCTGACTTTGTTGGCGATTACATTCCGCCCTATACCATTCTTTCGCACACGTGGGGAAATGACTCTGAAGAGGTGACCTTTCAAGACATGGTTGAGGGTAAAGGGAAGAACAAGCTTGGCTATCAGAAGCTCCGGTTTTGCGAGAAGCAAAGTGCAAATGACAACATCCAGTTCTTCTGGGTGGATACCTGCTGTATCGATAAAACAAGCAGTGCGGAGCTTTCTGAGGCAATTAACTCCATGTATCACTGGTACCGCGACGCAGATAAGTGCTACGTGTACCTCTCCGATGTATCAATCAACGGTTCCGTCGGAAGCTCCCTGTCATCTCAGCAGACGTGGGAGACAGCATTCAGACAGAGCCGTTGGTTTACCCGGGGCTGGACGCTTCAAGAGCTCGTTGCGCCGTCCTGTGTCGAATTCTTTTCCCTGGAAGGTCAGAGACTTGGAGACAGGGAATCATTGATACAGGAAATCGAAGATATCACGGGAATCAATACAGAAGCTCTGCGAGGAAGCCCACTTTCTCGATTTGGCTTCGAGGAGCGAATGTCTTGGGCAAGAGGCCGTGAAACCAAACGTGAGGAGGACGCTGCATACTCCTTGCTGGGAGTCTTTGGCGTACATATGCCGCTTGTATACGGGGAGGGACGGAGAAATGCATTCATTCGACTTCAAAGAATGATTCAAGAATCTGCAAGGAGCTTTGGGTCCGAAGGTTTTCATTTCATCTTGCAGAGGGGCACAGCATTGCACGAGACCGACGATACGTTCAGATTCCTTATGGGAGATATGAACAGAGATGGCTGTCCAGACTTGGTCGCCGTCAAGTCGAGACACACTATTAGCAACATGATTGAACTCAGCGTCTTTTCTGGGGCTTCACTATTCAGGAAATACATCTCACAAACAGTAGTTCGCGTGCCAGTGACAATGGAGACACACTATGATTTCGCCTTAGCAGACTGGGACGGTGACAAGACTTTGGATCTCGTCGTCATCAAGAAAGGCAGCACCGATACCAAGACCACCGAGGTCTGCATCCTTTCAGGCGCTTCTAATTTCCAAGACATCATTCTACAAACCGGGACCGCGCTGCACGAGACTGACGATACCTGGGCCTTCTCAATGGGGAGATGGAACGCTGGCAGGAAGCCCGACTTATTCGCCATCAAGAAATCCAGCACAGGCACTAACAGTACTGAAGTGCACGTACTGTCCGGGGCTTCGGGCTTCCAGAAATTCATTCTACAAACAGGCACTTGTTTGCATGAAACCGATGCTGCGTTCGACTTCGCCGTCGCAGACTGGAACGCTGACGGGTGCCCAGATCTGGTCGTAGTGTGGAAGAGCAACGATAGCAATCGCTACTCTCTGGTGCATGTGCTCTCTGGTGCTTCGACCTACCAGGACTTCATGTTGCACGCGGAAATACCACTCCTTGATACTCTTGGCATGTATGAGTTCATGGTCACTGAGTGGACGCGTAATGGGAGACTTGACTTAGTAGCGATTCGGAAGAGCAAAACTGGAACTAATAGCACAGAGGTACATATCATGACGGGACAATAGGAAAAATAGTCTTAAAGGAGCTTTAGAAATAAGCTCTCTTGAATATTATATAATTCTTTAAGTTTATCAAGTTGACTACAAAAATATGAAATAGCATATAGATAAATGACATGTAAATACAGAATACCTCTAGCCAGAAACAATTAACTAAGTCCTACACGCCTGACACGGATAAAGGAATTCACAAAGTCGCGAAAGTCAATAGCGACACATTCATCTCTCTCACGCTTCTCCGTTGTCAACCAAGGATTCTTAATATTCAGTTCCGTATTTACGAGATAAGCGTTTATTAGCACAGAGTAAGTTAAAACTAAAGGCAGCATTACACAGAAGTATCACTAATCTGTAACTAGGAAGGACCATCTTAATAGGAACTGTTGGAGTAAGTCTGACGGGATTGGCCGTGGTGTCTTCTGTCTTCCTTGAAGGTGAGGGCTGTAAGATGAAGGGCTATGATATGTGATACCAAATGATTCGTAAAGATAATTCTTCTAGAAGTGCGGCAAGGTTGAGTATAAGGACGGTTGCACACTCAAGGTTGACTATGCGAAAGGATGCAACAATCATGGCTGAGCTTAGTAAGGAGTGTATTGAGTCTTGAAGTATCTGTTGGTGGTATCGCCGTCTTACCTTTGGCGGGAGTGTAAAAGCTAGAAGATGAGCTATGGCTAACAAGACCTATAAATGGTTAAGTAAGTGAGACTTTGGCAGTGATCAGATGCCAAGCTTGTCTATTTTTATCCTACTATGACAGCAGCTCCGCGTCTTTACGTGGAACGCCTTGAAGTCAACGCCACGTTCCATTTCGGCCGGAAAAATGCCCCCCTCCCGGGGTCGGATCAATTTGGCAGTCCTAGGGAATAACTACATCAGGGTGGAATGCCCCGCACGAGACAACAAGAAGTCTTTCTCGATCTATCACTCTTTCAAGCGCAACCAACATTGGAATAAACATATCACAATTCTACGACCCACACCTCTCAGATATTGCTTATGTCTAGTCCCTAATTCACTGATAGATAATGGACGCCTCCACTGAGCACCAAGATGAAATTGCCAAGTTGGTCCAGCAACACGGAGCAGTTCCTCCGCCCTGGTTTATTTTTCCAAAAGAACATCCGTACAGCATCGGCTGGCGCATGGGTGCTGGCGAATCTTACATCATGATGTATTGGACTTGGTGGGGGCAACAGAAGGAGCAACTCGGCGAAAAGCAACGAATTGAGTACTTTCGCAGATGGCCTCCTCCACCCGAGTGGCTCATTTGCATGATAGAAGCAATTTGGGATCTTGACCCCAAGGACTTTGAGGATGATGATGCTTACTCGCCCTACTTCAAACGCACTGAGACACTTGGTTTCGGGTCTGAGGATGATTATAAGAATGCTATGCGAGATGAGGAAGAGTGAATAGGGAGCAACGAGATACCATAAGATTCCACCACCAGGACGCATCGGTCTTGTAGGCCTGCAAACCGATAGTGATATTGCAGGTAAAGCTGCAAATGGCCGCGAGGAAGATCGAAGGATGGCAAATAATGGCTCGGTTCAGCCGGAAGAAGGAGAGGCTGTATTGATGGTTTTTTCAATTTTTAACAGAATGGTATCCATCTCGCTGTGTCTGGGCAACTCGCAGTTGTGTCTGCAAGGAAACCAAGTCTGCGTAGGAAAAATTATTAATTCCCATAATCTGGCTCTCAGTTGAGCAGGATCACTTGCGACTCTTGCTGCGGCACCTATAAGGGAATTATAGCGCCATAGAAATAGCTTCACCATGTTTCTGATTTCTTCGCGAAATATATATCTTCTATTAAATTTATGTACAGCAATTGTTAAGAATACAGCCAGTAGAGGTGCAAGTACAGGTAACTTATACCAAGCGTGGCGCGATATAACGTGCAGGAGCTTAACCAGCTCCAAACTGCTCACCATACACATGCCTTCGTGCCTCCAAGAGAATGAAATTTATTCAGTCTAGTCAATGTTTATACGCTATGAGCCCTTACTCCGTCGGGTCAGGAATAGGCACAGCTCGCCCACGCGTGAAAGACACGCCATCAAGGTAAAAGGTGGGGCTGAGGCCTTGGTTCTGCGTGATAGTAATGCAAAGATCAGTAGAATCAATGCTTGGGTCGGTATAGGAGAAGGTGTAAGTAAAGTCATTGTAGGCATTGTATCCAACAATGCCATGGTCACCAGAGTCGTATACACCATCAATGGACAGTTCAGCGGTATTGACGTTGTCTTCGCAGACAATTGTGTTGGAGCCATACTCTTTGATGCAGTTCTGGAGAACCTGCGCTTTGAAAGTGTATTCAAAGCCCGCCTCGACTGCGACGCTCTGGCAGACCTTGGCGGAATTGGCAAGGTTTCCAGGCAATTGCCTATGAGAAATTAGTATGCATCCTCGAGGTTTTAAATTCTTAGCAATACGTACAGACACTTGCTGCCCTCGGCGCACCAAAACTGGCTACGGTAGACTGCCGGAGAGGCTCCTTCTACAACCCAAGGATCGATGGTCTCGTCTTCGAAACCACCATTCACGGCGAGGTTAGTAATCACAGGAGGGCCAGCTGTAGTCGTAGTGGCTTCGACTGTAGTGCTCGTGGCTTCGTCGGCGGTTGTAGAGGTCTCGGTCTCCTGGGAAGTGACAGCAGTCGTCGTAGCGAGCATGGTAGTAAAAGAGCTGATACCATCGGTCGTGGTGGCAGAAGATTCAACACTGGTCTGAGACTCAGCAACACTTGAGGTTTCTTGAGAAGTTAAACCGGAAGTAGTTATTTCGAGCTCTGTAGTGGCAGAGGATTCAACAGTGGTCTGGGACTCAGTGACACTCAAAGTCTCTTGAGAGGTCAAGTCAGAAGTAGTCGTCTCCGATTCTGTGGTCGCAGAGTCGGCTGTAGAAGTTTCGACTGTGACAGAGGACTCAATGCTTGACGTCGAGTCGGTAATTCTTAAAGTCTCTTGGGAAGTAGTCGTTGTGGCGGCGCCTCCAGCCGTTGTAGTGCCGATTTCGCTGCTGAATGACGATGTTGTTGTCGGCCGAGGATGGGGGGCACAAGCCTAAAACTGTAAGCTTCCACTTGGGGCGTTAGGGGGCGTTCCAGGGAACTTACGCGAGCGGCGCAGAGGCCCGCACCCAAGATTAGAGAGCCAAAGGTAGCAGTTACACGCATCGCGAACAAACTTAAAAAGAGCGACTGGAATTAAAAACGAGTGACTGAAAAGCGGTAAGCAAAGAGCAAGAAATTAAAAGAGGCAAAAGAGCGAATTGTTCTCTTTATCATCGCGTTAGGCTTCCTCGAGAGCTGAAAGGCAAGCGAGATGGAACTATTGGCTTTAGAGCGTGCTACTTGCATAGATATAGCTAGCAGATTCGATAGTCTCCATAGACCCTGTTGTTTTTTCAGGGGTAATGCAGGTCCAGCGAGCACCTAATTTTAGATATGAATCCTTCTTCCAGGTAGATAAATGCAGATTGAAAATGATCTTATCTCCATCACCAATATGAACCAGTTCTATGATACATAATTATTATCGTAATTTTATCATCGTTTTGTATCGGCTTTCAGATAAGTCTCGTTATCATCAGAGTCACCTATAGATAGTGCATTACCCGTGGCGGATCGAGCTTATGTAGTGGAGGTGTCTCAACCTTAAAGCATTTACTCAGGAGAGTGCTGTTTTTACCTCTGTCAGGAGTTTAAAAGCTGGTCCAAGATCTGAGACTTGTGGCTGATAGCTTAAATCAGCACAGAGCATATGTAGCTACCCTAACTAGGCCTATAAAGGGTTAAGATATTTAAGACTTTAGGGGCTATCAAATGTTAAAATTTCCCCGCATTTATCGTGCTATGACGCCAACTTGCTGATCCAATCTTCATCATTCTTTTTGCCCCGTCCATCTTCTTCTACTCGCCATCTATTCTACCTCGACCATGGTCAATGGCGACGCTATCGCCTATAATGTCGCTGTCTTTATCAGTACCCTGTTCCTTCTTGAGTTCGGCGCCGATAAATTCGTCGACCATACCGCCATCGTTGCCCGTCGGACGGGAATTCCCGACACGGTGATTGCCCTGCTCACTGCCGGTGCAGAGTGGGAAGAGGTACGGCCTGAACCCACTTGTTCACGTCTATTTTTCCAAGCTAAATTCATCGTAGCTCGTTGTCGTCGTTGCTTCGCTTGCGCAGGGTCGACCCTCGCTAGCAGTGGGAAACATCATCGGGTCAGCCATCTCGAACATCCTTGGCGCCTTTTCACTAGGACTTTTGTTCCGTCCTACGGGGCCGCACGTTGAGTTTGACAGGAGCTCTAGGGTATACGCTTTATGTTTGCTTGTTATCACCACTTTTGTCGCGCCAATCATTTACTTCCCCCAGCGGATCATCTGGTTGGCATGCGGTTCTATCCTGATTTCGCTCTTCGCCATCTACCTAATCTCCATAGGCTGGGCCATCAGTCGAGGCAGTCTCACCGCTCCCGAGGGTTCGGATGATGATAGTAGCGATGATGAAAGCGACACGTTGTCAACAGAATCGACGCCCTCTGTCAGGAACCCCCTCCTCCCGAGCCACGAGGAGCGTGAGCCTGAGGATAGGAATGAACGGGATCCACGAGTCGATGGTAGTCCCGAGGTGACCGGGCTCACAAATGTTTTGAGTCGTCGAAGAAGACGGAGCCTCGGATATCATGTCGGACTTCTGGTGCTCGGCTTCTTAGCCATCTGCCTTTCTGGCTATGTTCTCTCGCAGGCGGCCATCAACATAACAGACGCTCTGGGCATCTCCGACGTTCTATTCGGTATCGTCATTCTTGCCATCGCCACCACCCTGCCCGAGAAATTTGTTGCTGTCCTGAGCGGCAACCGAGGCCATGTAGGGATTCTTGTGGCCAATACCGTGGGGAGTAACGTCTTTCTCCTGTCGCTCTGCCTGGGTGTTGTTATGATTGATACCTCCGAGGACTTCGGTGGGGGTCATGTTAAGATTACTGAGCTTTGTGTCCTCTGGGGCTCCACGTTAGCGCTCACAATAGCCGTTTGGTACGGCGAAAGGATTGATCGATGGATTGGAGGAATTATGTTACTTGGATATGTTGTATTTATCATTATGGAGTTTACAGTTATTCATCATACAGCAGATACACCATAACCTTCAAAGATTGATAGAAAGTTTGATTCTCATGCGGATCATATCAGAACAATTTGGCGGCGCTAAAAAGATGCTGATTGAGTAAACACTACAGGATATTGAATCCATGTCAAACCTCGTTTTATTCGGAGTTAAAGCACGGGCTTTATCAACTGATGGATAGTAGCGGTGGTAGCCAATTCAAGATAGAATTATTAATACCACTTCTAGAGATTTATTCTGTTACTTGCGAAAGCTTATTTTCATATACCAAAGACACCAGCATTGCCTGTTTTCCCCCAGCTTATCGGAATCTCCACCTTGATTACATAACCCTGTAAGGCTGAACTAGGCTTGGCATTTTCAACACAGCCTCAATAATCAATAAGGTTGTTTCATGCACCCTCTCACGTCCTCTCAACCTCAACCTTCCCATCACCGAGATGTCGGATCCCTTGAGTGTCGCCGCTTCAATCGCAGGACTCATCTCAATCACGGTAGAGGCCGTCAAGTTCCTCAGCCCATATGTCTCAGCGGCCAAAGAGACCCCGCAGGTCGCGGCGCACGTCTACTCTGAAGTTCAGAGCACCCAGATTATACTGATGGGTCTTCAAAGCCTCACGAAAAACCTTAGCTCTGTCAACGTTCAGCATGCCGCCCTGATTGGGGTGAACCAGGTAGTGGCGGTCCTCACGGATGGGGTTCTCCTTTACTCGGAGCTGCATAAGGAACTTCAGTCGTTGTGGGCTAAAGACGGCATGGAAAAGGTGCCGCTGAGAGGACGCTTGCAGTGGGTGTGGAAGGAGAGTACGTTTGTCACACTCTTGAATAGACTGCAGACTTTCAAGAGCTCAATGACACTCGTCTTGATGATTTTACAAAGGTACGTTTAGCGTGCATTGACTAGGACAACATCTGATTTTCTTATAGTAACTCTGGTCAAGCAGCAAAAGAACACCAGGAACAGCTCTCCAATAACGTCAAAACTCTTCTGGACAATAATGACGCTCTGTCACGTCGGCTGATGAATGTTGAGGACGCTTTGGATGCTCAGACGATTATATCCAGGCGCATGAGCATCCTCTCGATGAGCGCCTCCCCATCTCGAAATACAAGCCAGCAATCAACTGCAGAGTCATCAGCTACGTCAACCAGCACTGGCGCCAGCCTTGCTATATCCAAATTTGACTTTGAAGATGATCTTGAGTCATCACGCGTATATCGCCGGGCAGTCAGAGAAACCATGGACTTTTCATTCCGAAGCTCAATTGCTAGATCACACAACTGGTCCGTCTTTTCAGGCTTGAGTCTCGGTGATATTTCTATCATGTCTGTCGTTGCATTACCTGTATATCAGGAAGATATTACCAATGCTGAGCACTATGATTTCGGCGAGGAAGCTTCTGTCGCTCCTGAAACACCCAAGTCAATGACGGACCAGCCTTTGCTGATGCAATGCCTTGAACTGAGGCGCAGGCTTCTCGCAATACCGAGGATGCAGAAGTATTTTGGCAGGACTTTGCTCCCTTTCCACGACTTCTCCGATATCTTGCGAGGCTTCAAGAAGGCCGTGCCACTGGTGATACTTGCTCAGGCTCTGGATCCGACGCTTAGCCTAGATATTGATCTAGATGAGGAGCTTACAGAAAACTCTCAAAAAGAGCTAGTATTATGGTTCGCTCAATTCTGCCATGATAATCTCAAGATCAAGACAAGTGACTTGATCACAGTAGAAGATCTAATGGGAGAAAGTTCTTATGGGGTCCTCAGAGTAATACCACAAAACAATACCTTCTGTAGTATGACACAGTTGCTAATCACCATCTAGACAATATCGCTCTTATCGAGCATTACCAAAAGTCTCCCTAACACTGGTTTCTTAACAAACGAATTGTCTATAGCGAAAGCCCAAATCGACTCCCAGTCAACGGAGCTTCGAATCCTGATCGCTGAGCAACGCCAGCTCGTCCGAGTCCTTTGCGAGCTCCTTGAGATGAGAGACGAACTAGAGACGTATATGAGCTCGATGTTTCAGAACTTCAGACAAATCGCAGATCATCAAATTAGGGTCCTGATAGTGATGGAAAGGAACCTGTTACGTCCATTACCAGAACACAGATGGGATTTAGCATTCGCACTTCTCTACAGTAGGGAGACTGAAGCTATGTCACATATAATTTATTCAACCACCGCGACTAGCATTCAGCTCTGGCTGAGAGAGGGCCATTTCAGAGATAAGCTTAAGATCAGTACCATGCTTGCAAGAGCTTTGGAGATAATTCCCACAAGAGCCGGGCGCGTGTCCGCCTTTTTTAAGTTCGCGGAGGTATGGAAATTTCGTACTTGATCCTTTTAAGCTCTTTACTAACAATAACAAGTACCTCAAACGACAGCAAGTCATGTCAGGGGTGGAGGAACGTGATAGGAACAGGGCCCTCTCGTTCATATCAAAATTTATAGCTCAGCTCCAAGAGGACGATTCTTTCAAGGACACTAAGCCACTTATCGAAGTCCTCAAGCAAAAGGTGCAAGACTGGAAGGGCATTGATCCAGATGATCTCGGCGAGTTGATACTCTCCAAGACGATTTATGTAATCAAAGGTTCTCAGACCAAATTGGTAAGTGGCACTGGAAGGTTAAGTAGCAAAATGGACTGACACATACACTATAGTACCAAGGCTACCTCTTCCAGCACATGCTTCTCCTTTGCAAGAGCCGTGGGGAACCTTCGGGGGCCTCGTTGTTTTACAGGACCAAGTCCTTATCTGAGCAGAAACAGACAAAGCTTTTACTGAAGGGAAGATTCCACCTGCGGCACATTCTTTCAGTCACACCGATTTCCCATCCTGGTATATCCTCTCCTCTTCATTTTGATTGCATTCACTCACACAAGTAGATACACATATATGCGAGGTTCAATGGGGAACTGATAATAGCGACAAGTCGAGTTTCTCAATTATGTTTGCACTTGAGCCTGAGATGCGAGAATGGGCATCAAAGATCGATGAGTATAGGATGATGGCAATACTGATGGCGAATCCCAAATATGTCCCAGAAGAACTGCATTTAACAATAGAAGGGGCCGTTGGTGAAACTGTGCCTGGAGATTTGCCTGGACGAATGGAACCACAGAAGCGATATGGAATAATAAAATAGTCAATTAGGAATTTTTAATGGGTTGGCTTGGTATGTATCAGGATATTGAAAGTGTTATATGACGATCAATGAGTACCACTAAACAACTTCCTCAAATGTCACCGCATCAACGTCGCCCTCAGCATTGGCGCAGCTGAATCCAATAGCAACACTAAGATAGCCATACTGGTCCAACTTATCCTGTCTAAGTGAACAGGTAGTGCTCAACGGTGTCCATTGTTGCACGGCAGCATTGGCGCTGGCTGTGTTCGCGCCACCCTGGACGGGAACAACATTACTGGGATCTCCATAGTAACAGCCGACACCCATTGCATTGCAGCCATCGTCGAACATATTATCACTCGCACCGTCGACGCGGAGCTGAGCGGTGAGACGATAGGTTCCTGCTTTAAGAAGTGACTTGTCGATCTTTTGATACACGTAGTTGTTGTACGACTCGCCGTCGTCGATTGCGAATTGGAGGCGGGCGTAAGCTGGACCTTCGTAGGGCGAGGACGAGCCGAGTTCAATCGGGTCGTTGACTGAGAGCCAGGGGTTTACTGTCCCGAGATCGAAGTTGCCGTTGATGAGAAGTTCGGTTGGCTCTGCTTCGGCGGTAGTAGTGGTTGTAGCGCTCTCGGCCACGGTCGTTGTGCCGTCGGTGGTGGTTGGTGCTGAAGTAGCCTCGCTGCTAGTGACTATTGTAGTGTCGCTGCTACTAACGACTGTCGTACTCTCGCTGACAGCGATGGTCGTAGATGTCTCGCTCACCAGTGCGCTCGTCGTTGTACCATCCTCAGTCAACGTGGTAGTTGTATCAGTCGCGGTTGTCGTCTCTGTCTCGGTGACCGCCGTACTGGTCTCGATGGTAGTGGAAAGAGCAGTGGTAGTATCGGAAACGATGATTATAGAGCCAGTGCCGGTGGCAGAGGTTGCGATGCTCTGGGGCTTACACGGGCCTGCATTAACAGAAGCCAACAAGGCCAAGTTTGCTAACGCCGCGGCAATCAGCTTGTTGGAAACCATTTTGACAGGCTTCAAAAAAGACAAAAAGAAAATTACGGAAACGACAGTGGAGGCTTCGCAAAACCGAGTGAACCAAGAACAGGAGGAAAAACAGGACATTCGCCAGTTTTATTTCAGCACACGAGTGGAGAGTGCCTCAGGGGCACACAAATAACTATTGGTGACCTAGTGCGATTAATGATCGTGGCATACAATAGCGTCTCAATAGCGTTGAATTTTTCGCCAGTTGGGCCAATCAGGGTCTCAGCTTCATGGCTGGCTTCATATTTCAAATAAGAAATTAATTCAAAAAGTAAGCTTGTAATCGGTAGTGCTTCTATCTTTGCTCGTATTTTACCTAGCTTTGAAATCGTTTAACAGGGCGCAAGCTAATCAAGTAGACTTGCATGCTGTCATAACCATCGTCGCAGCTTGGCAACCGAAGATATCACTCTACTCCTTCGTCACTTCACCAAATGATCCCTTGTACCCATTCTGCTCCAGGTACAGCCGGAATTGCGCGTCTTCGCTCTCGAGCTCTTTGTCCTTGTCTGGGATGAGAAACCATGCAACTAGACCACCTACAGCAGCAAACGCCGCACCAATGAGAAACACGGCTTGAATGCCTCGCTGCTTATCGGAGAAAGAGTCTTGGATGGGCGTAAATGCCTGAGTTCCAATCACCGCGCCAGCCTTACCCATTGCTGCGGCAAACCCTAGGAAGTGTCCTCGCAGAGGTGTTAAAAAGGACTCTGCAGCACAGAGAAAAGTGGCGACCTGGTTCACATTTAGCATGTCTGCAGGTAGCTCTACTGCCAAGGTTGGGACTTACACCAGGGCCCATCTCTCCCAGTGCGTTGAAGATGCCATACAGCACGATGAACAAAGGGAAAACGGACTGGATTGGAGAAAGAGCACCACCAATGATGAAGCCTAGAATCGTCCATCCGAGGAAACCCAGAGTCATGGTTTGTCTGCGGCCAATGCGGTCCATGAGTAGTCCTCCAACGACGCAGCCGGGGAGGTAAAAGCAGTTAACAACTGTACCGAAACCGATGTTCTGCTGAAGGGTATCCTCGGGATTCAAAGTGGCGATGATTGTCGAACTGAAGATTCCGAATGGGTACGTCTGGTGTCTATATCAGTAATGTGCTGCACATTATATCCTCAGCATTGTACTTACCACGAAGTCGTAGAAGAACCACGCCAAGGATGTTCCAAGCATTGGTTTCCAATATCTCTTGATCACAAGCATATATGGTATGTCCTGTTTGATCGCATGTTTCTTATATTGCGTCGAGTCAAACCGACGAAGACGAAGAAACAGAAGGGCTACTGGCAGGATGAAACCAATACCGAAGTTGATTCGCCAGACGCCATCACCGACATGTTGATGGTAAGCTGCGAGGACGATCAATGCCACAACACCTGCCATAACAAATCCGAGGTCGATGGAGAAGTCTGTAGCAGCAGCGACAAGAAGTCCGCGTCGGCGTCGAACAAATGATGTCTCGTCTGAAGCTTCAGTACTTCCCGTGCCGCAAGTAGGATATTCACCTGCAAAGCCATCAGTCAAGTAATTTTCTCAGCCCAAATCCTTATTGGGTCTTACCACCAGCCCCGAACCCTGCAACACCTCGTCCAACGATCATCATCCAAAACATGCCCAGCTCAGTCTTTCCATGCGCCGCAGTCGCGAGTATGATACCCAAGACTAAGAACAAGGTAGCAAACACAATGCCAGTCCGTCTACCAAGTCTGTCAATGGCATAGCCAAAGAAGAGCATGCCGAGGACCTCGCCGATGAGAAATGCATTGGAGAGTCGAGTCTTGATCGAGCTGGAGAAACTGTCGGGGTAAAGTTTTGCAAAGACTGGATTCATGTATCCGATAATCTGTGCGTTGTATCCATCGGAGAATAGAGCAATGCCACTTGTCAAGACTGTTGTTGTGGCCGACATGCGAGACTTGGTAGGGAGTTCAACGTCTGTGGCATTAACAACAGTGTCGTTTTTGAAGGATTCATCGTCTTGATGGCTTTTTGGAGCACTCGTGTTTGGAGAAGCCTTGTTCTCCATGATACTGATCTTGAAACGGGAAGTATTGGATTGATCTTTCTTAGAAGCTTCTATCTGATAATATTTGAGAAGCTCTTGACTTATATATACATGATACGTAGTGCCTCGTGGTTGGAGGCTAAGGATATCCTCGCATTGCAACACCATTCTTCTTGCAAAGATCGAAGTGCAGTTCTGGTCAAAGACAGACCTTCGCGTGCCCTGATTATGGAACATTATTGGATATCCGTGAGAAATTCTTTATCTTATTCAACAAGCAATAGCTCAATGTTTGCACGTGGGCATCGTTGTTAAGTTTGGTTGGGTTTAATGGTCCTCATATTACGAGATGGTTGCCGATACGCCGAGGAGGACTTGTCATTTACCCTTGTATGCGTCTCATGTTTTGGGGCTACAGAATCTTCCTAATTCCCGTCTGCTCACACTAGGCTTTAGTTTGGTTCCCGTAGGTCTGATCTGAAGTGGGCCATACAACTGTATCAAGTCGAATGCAGGCATAAAATGGCATTAGTCTCGGTTACTCGGCATGCTACAGTTGCATTTTGGTCTTTTTCCCTGGGTACATGCGCAATGGCCCTGTTTCATTGCTTGGGGAAAAGCCCTTGGTGGGAAACTAATGCAGCTAGTGAGCGATACCCGACAAACCTCGATATCTTATCTCGAGCCGAGTAGCGAGCAACATGTGGGTGATGTCAAATGAGAATGCGCCATGGAACTCACGAGATACTTAATTTATTGCGACTTGAAGACTAAAAGTCTTTCAAACGTCATGATAAATATAACTGTCGACAATACCTAGGTCAATCGATCAATTCGCTGCATACACCTGAGAACTCAACACTTTCTGATTCCTCTAGAAATTTCGCTTAAACTCATTCCACGGCTTTTCAAGATGGTAGTCACCGATGATCAGATCTCCTTCTTCAAGAAGAACGGCTACTTGATAGTCCGTGACTTGCTGCAGTCTGAGCAAGTCAAAGACCTCCAATCATGGGCCGAAGAAGTCCGCAACTGGAAACCCACTGAAGACTCAGAATTCATGCCCTACGAGGTTCGATATGCCTGAGATCGCGTTGACTCAAGAGGAAGAAACTCACTGTTGCTTAGGAGGTCAATGACAAAGGCCAAACTGTTCTCTGCCGAACAGAGAACTTTGCCGATTGCCACAACGGTTTCAGTAATCTGCTCCGAAGCCCGAAGCTGCTCGGTCTTCTCAATGATCTCGCAGAGGAGCCTATGCTTTTGTTCAAGGAGAAGATCAATTACAAACTTGCTGGAAGCGGTAAGTAGAGCGCCCTAGAGACGTACTCATTCTTGTCTAAAGCTAACTGCTGACAGGCGGATTCGCACCTCACATTGATGCTGTTGCCTACACGCACATCAAGGATGTCAAACACTTGACGATTCTACTGAGTGTCGATCCCTCCAAAATCCGCAACGGAGGGTTGGAAGTCGTTGATGGTAGCCATGAGATGGATGTCCCTATTAACAAGGCTACCAACTGCATTGAATCGACTTGGGTTGACTCTCACATTTGGACTCCTGTTGAACTAGAAGCCGGTAAGTCACCCATGCTCTATAGATGTAGTACCGTGAACTAACAAATCCTAAGGCGAGCTACTCATCTTCACGTCTTACCTGGCTCACCGCAGTGGTGCCAACAAGAGTAGCTCTGACCGCAAGGCGATCTATGCGACTTACAACCGTGCTTGCGAGGGTGATCTACGACAGGGCTATTACGAGCACAGGAAGCAGGAATGGCCGGCTACACATATGCGGAAGGCTGAGAAGTCTTATGAGGCGGGAGCGTTGACGTATGGCTTTGGATCTCCTATGCTTAGTGTTGATGCCGGAAAGCAGGTTACATTTTAAGTAACTATGTCCCGTACATATCAGTTATCTAGTTAGATTTTACTCTTTTTTTTTTCTCGATTCATC